AAATATAAAAATATAAAGAGTCGTTAGAAGCTTTTTGACATTTGGAAAAAAGTTAAATAAGAAATATATTGTAAAAAACAATGTCTAGCCAACGTTACTTTGACCGTATTAACATAACACTTAATTTTTCATGGTTCCCGCCTTCCTTTTCTGAATATTATTTTTCCTCTTTAGCGAAAATTACTCACATGCGTTTTTTTTCATTACATTTCTTCTTATCCTTATTTTTTTTTTAATTAAAAAAAAATTCACAATTTTTTTTTTTCTCTTCACTCTTTCTCTATAAAAGGGCCTCACTTGTTTATCTTTGTAAGTCTCTCTCTCACATAAAAAAAAACTTTTGTTTTCACTCACATTGTTGTGCTCTCTTTCGGTGGGTTAACATTTTCTTTCTTTCACATAAAGACTCAATTTTGAGCAAAATTTTAGGTTCAAAAGGTAAAGAAAACTCAAATCACATATTTTTTTTTTTGCATGATATGCATCTTGTGAGTCTTTAGTTTTGATCTATGTAGTACCGACACTTCTGAAAAAAAACAGTGTTTGTGTTAGACATCGACACCTACAACGACACGTATAATTACCTTTAATGTTTTTATTTTTAAAATTTTTAATGCTGCCGCAATGTCGATATCGGTATTGTGTTCGGAGTGTCCTTGCTTCATAAATTTTGATTTATTTAAGTTTAATTTTGTATGATATTATTTTTAATTATTGTTGTGTTTGACGATCTAAAAAATTTTATGTTCTGAAGGATTGAAGTTTTTCTACAAGGGATCATCTTCATCTATGTATGAGATTCAAATAAAGTTCTACCTCGGATTTAGATCCTCTCATGCTATTTCTCTCATGTTTTCATTATGCCTTATTATTAACCATTAGATCTAATATTTTCTCTCTTCTTTGTACTATTATTTTTTTTGTTAGTGTCATAATAAACCATTGAATTGGAAAAAGGAGGAAGGACTGAACCAAAAGAGCAATAGAGGATCCAAGTCTTCCTTATTCCTCAACTAATTTTTATAGGTAAATTATTTTCATCTCTATGCATTTTTTTTGTGAAGGTTGTCGGAGGAAAATGTGGTTAATCTTTTTTTTACACTAAATCTTGATTATTTTTTATTCATTGACATTTTTGAATAATTTTTATTGTTAATTAAACAAAAAAAATTAATATAAGACGTTTTAAAAAATTAAGAGGTCGATATAATTATCTTTAAAATTAAAATATTAAAATGAACTTCGAAGTTGACGTATGAAAATTTTGTAAATATATATGTCATTTTATGTTATTAATATATTCATTTTAGATTAAATAACGTGAATTTGTATTTTTTTTATACCAATTTAAATCAATGAATAGTTTTTTTTCAAAAAAAAAATCGGCCCGGATATCACAAATTTCCATAATCAAGAGTATTTAATTTGTCACCTTCCATTTGAATTTGGCATCCGTTTATAGTTTCATAATTTCAAAATTATTCTTGAAAAATTTTAAAATAAATTTTCGTAAAAAATTTCTAGTAGATAGATTAAAATTTTTGGTACACACTAAATTTCTGATAATATATTTATAAATTTTGGTATATCGAAATTTCTGAAATTTATTTGAATTTGCAAATATTATAAAAAATTCTAAATATTCTATTTTATATTAAAAATTTCAATTAAAATGAAATTTCCAGTAGTTCATATTCAATAACAAAAAATATTTTAATACTATCAAAATTTTTAAAATTTCTAATAATTTACTAGAAACTTTGAAATTTACGATAGCGTAGAAAAATATTTTTGATGATTTAAAATTTTTTTTTTTAATTTTGGTATTCTTCAAATTTTTTATTTAAAATATTTATTTTTTACTGAAATTTTTGAAATTCAGATAAAAACAGATAAATTAAAATAAAAATCTAGTTTTTATAAAAGATGTAATAGTAAAAGTAAATTTTAGATACAAGTGAGGGGTAACATGTTTCAAAACTTATAAATTTGACACTTTACTTATTTATACTTTATGTAAGATTAAATCACTCACATAATTAATAGTTTTTCAAATATATTATTCGGCCAACAAAATTCAGATGGATAAAAAATAGAAATAAAATGACAAATGTGAATAACAATGAGCGACTTGATTTGAGTTATGTCATTGGCTTGTAAAAAAAAAAATTAAGAAGCAATCAAATTTTCCTTTGTCAAAAAAAAAATACAGTCAAATTTTTTTTGTAATTGACGTAAATTTAATATCCAAATAAGAAAGAAATTTAACTTATTCGTTTGATTCACTAAATAGAATCTCTAAAACTGATTTTCCTTTAGACTCAATATTTCTAGAACACACTTTAGAAAATGGTGGTTGGTTTAGTTTATTTAATAAAATTATTATTATTATACATAAAAGAGTCTCGTGCAAGAATTTTGATTCCAGAAGTTTTTTTTTCCACTTTTCATAAATTTGGATTTATGTATTTTGATCAATCCATTAGCCAGAAACCTTGTTCTTGTTCTTTTTTGGGATTGGAAATTCTTAACTACTCTTCTTTTTCATTTCTATGTTACCATAATAAACATAATAATTCCTTTTTTTTTCACTTTTATCTTCTTTTATTCATATGCATAAGGTTTATATGAAAAAATAATTATATATAGTTACATAATTTTTTTCCTTTTATGAATATACAGTGTAGGGTTTGTAAAAAATGTCAGAGCAACAACAACGACCATCGCCAACAGCAGTAGCTTTTTTAACAAAAACCTTCGACATGGTTGATGATTCTCTAACTAATGATATGATATGTTGGAGTGCAAACGGGAACAGCTTTGTTGTGATACAACAAGCTGAATTTGCTAGGGATTTACTCCCTAAGTATTTCAGGCACAACAACTTCTCAAGTTTTGTGCGTCAACTTAATACTTATGTAAGTTTTTTCTTTTATCTTTTCTCTATATATTTTTATCTTTTATTCGTTTATTACGAGTTAAATAAATATAAATTGTTGATTTTTAATATTCGGTGATAATAATTAATATATTTAATATGAAATATAAAATAGGTATATTTATTTATTAATTATTTATTAGATTTAATTTTCTTTTACATATTTGAGATTATAGGGAGTAATTAAGCTCTTATAAATTTAATTTATTTTGTATATTTGAATTAATTTTAATTGATTTAGAATATTATGTGAAACTTTCACTTTAAGTATTATTATTTTGAAATTTTATTTGAAGTAAATAGAGTGGGTTTTACATTAGGTAGAATAGAATTAGTTGTTTTGAATTTGTTTCTTGTTTCGAAGTATGTTATTGTAGAAATTTTCTTGAGTTTACACCAAATATTTTTTTATATTTTTTTTACTCTGCATGTGTTTGCTTTAATGATTTAAAATATTAAAATATTTTATTAGTACTATAAATTTTTTTTAGAGGGTCGAATTCAAAGAATATTTGTACACCTTTCTCTTTTATGAATTTTTTTTTAATTTTTTATAATTTTTGTTGAGATAGTATGAAAACATTAAATATTATTTTCTTAGTCTATGTATTTTTTAATCATTAAAGTTTTTATACATTGTATTTTATCATTAAAATTTTTGTACATTGTATTTTATCATAATATTTACAATAAATTTAAAATGATAAAAATGATTTCAATAACTACAAAAGAAATAGCTAATGTTATTTTAATTTTACTTTAATTTAAAACAAAAAATCTAAATTTCTATAGTTTTTATAAATAACATTTGTTTATCATTCGTCATTTTTCTTCTCTAGTTCCTTTTTTGACAAATGTTTGAAAATCAAACTGTTTTTATGAAAGAAAGTAAGAAAAAATTTTCTAGAAATTTTTTTAATCAAATTATTCTAAAGTGGATCTTTTCAAATCAAATTAATGGTAGAATAATTACTTTTGATCCATTTAAAATTTTTTGATATTGTTACTCTTTTGTTTCTATGACTTTATAAAATTGTCAAATACTGGTACTTTATTTATTCATCATTTTAATATGTATAGGATGATTTTGACTGAAATATACGAATTAAATTAGATAAGTCTACTAATAAATTTTGAATGTCAAATTGTATGGAAGTTAATTTAAAATATAAATATAACATTTTTGTCCTGTTTTTCTTTTTTAATAAAATAATTAGTCTTGTTTGACTGTGTTATTTAATGCTTATTCATAAAAGCAATATATTTTCATTATACTTTGAATTTTATAATTTGTTAATCAATGTTTGATAAAGAAAATAGCCACCTCTATCTTTTGACTGCAATAACTACAAACATAAATATAAATAACTTATCTTTTGAATAATTTCTACTTTTTTAAATAATTAAAGGTCAAATTGATTACAAAGGTTGAAGGAGGTTTTTTTAAAGAAAAATTGTTTATAATTGTTTTATATTTTTTTATTATGGTTATTTTTTTGTGTATAGATTTTCTTCTTTGTTGGTCTTTATATTTGTTGATTTTGTTTTTATAGTATTTAACATTTACTTATTATTATATTATTAAAAAAATTTAAATATATTGTCATCAAAATTAATGTATATAATTCTTTATGGATAAGATTGGTTCAATAAATTATTTATACTTTTTAGATGTATATGAGATTTTACAAAATAAAATGAAATTCTCTGATCCTACGTATAAAAAATTATTATTTAAATTTATTTAATAATCAATGTGTGTAATTTATTATATTAATTATTGAATAAATTAATAAATAAAATGTTTTTCTTTTACAATATTTCGAATAAGAGTATAAAGTGTTTTTCTTTTACAATATTTTGAAAGTCTTGCAGATATAATCAAAATTTTAAATATTAATAGTATCGGATATTGAAACATGGTTATTGTTACTCTTAATTTATAATTATAAGGATGCTAAAAAAATGTAGAATTTATAAAAGGAAGAGTTGTAAGAAAATTGAAGTGTTTGTTTTGAATGTTTTATTAACTTTGAAATCAATTTTTCAGGGATTCCGAAAAATGGCCAGTGACAAATGGGAATTCGCCAACAAGAATTTCAAGCGAGGGCAGAAAGAGCTACTTTCAGCAATCAAGCGTCAAAAGAGCCAATCATATGTGCCCATAAGACACGTTGGTGTCCAAGGGAATTCAGCATCGAATCTCGGTCATGGGAACATAGGCTCAACCTCAACCGGAGCAAGATTAATGGAACGAAACACCCATCACACTAATTTATCGAGCGAAAACGAGAAGCTGAAAAAGGAGAATGAGAATCTTAAGAGTCAATTGAATCTTGTGAATAAGCGGTGCGACGAATTGGTCACATTTCTTCGTGACAATGTGAATGTTGAGGTTGATCAGATTAACCATATTATTCAGCAAGGAACAAGCGGGTTCAGCCGTGATGCGGTGCGTTCTGATGATGTTATAGGCATAGGAAAGAATAAAGGTCAAGAGGGGGTGAAATTATTTGGAGTTTGGGTTAAGGGTGGTGGTGGAGAAGGGAAAGATAAAGCGAAGATTGAAAATGGCGATGGTAATCGTCGCAAGAGGGGGCCAGAAGAGGCTATTGGCAGTGAAATCAAAAAGTTGAATAATTGATAAATCTTAAGTGTATGGATAATAGTAGTTGTTATTTGGTTATTATGTAGTTTGGATTCGGTGATGCACAGTGGTCTTTAGTTATACATTTTTAAAATGTATGGCTTTTATAAAACCATCATTAGACAAGTTTCATGTATATGTTTGCAGTGCTATTCATTTAGTTATTTTATATTTTATAACAATGAAGAATTTTAGAGCGACAATAGAAAATGGATTTCCAATATTTAAATAATGTGATAATGGAATAAGATGTAAGATAGACTAAACAACTAAGTGGAATGGGGTATCAATAGTTTAGATTTAAGAAAAAAAAATTATTTTGATATTTATCCATCATTGAACTAGAATAAAAGTCCTAAGAATAAAAAACATAAAAAAGGGTTTCAATTGTTACTCTTTAAAATTATTTGTTTGAGAAATAAATGCTTTTTTCATATATTAGATGAAGTTTGAACAATATTATTATGATCTTACATGTTCTAATATACACAAGCACATGTTAAATAACAATGAACATAAAAGAAAAAAAGCTATGAGAGTTTTTTTCAACCTTACAACCATAAAGACAAGCAGATGAATATACAATAATGGTGTCATGATAAATAAAGTTAGTTTTTATGAAAATATTGTTGTGTATAAGCTATCTAGCAAAAAAAAAAAACAACACCTTTAATATGGATAATCTTATTTCAAATTAAGTTTTAGAGTAATTGAGATTCTCTCCATTTTTCAAAAAAAAATGGAGAACATAATTACTAAAGTATTTGTGTATAAATGCACATATTCTTAAAATGTGTGACATATATTTTGTATAATTTGACTTGTATACATTAAAAACATTAGTAATTAAATTCTCAATTTCTTTTGAAAAATAGAGAGGATCCATACCTGTTTCTTGAGAGGTAAAGATTCTTTCAACGTATCTTGAATAAATAAATGGTAAATATTTTTGATTTAAATTAAATCTCTAAACTCATAAATTTAAAACATTTTGTAACATAAATTTTTTAAGTGTTGACTAAAGTTGTTTTGAAGAAACTGTTCTTTAATTTTGTGTTGATGATGACATAATATAAGAGAACAATTTTGTTGTCAAATGTTTGTTATATAAGTATAAAATTTTAAAAATTATTCTACGTAATTTATTTTCTGGAAATGATCATATGATCTAAAGATGAATTTGAATCTGGAAATGATCATATGATCTAAAGATGAATTTGAAATATATCATTTTACGCATTGCACTGAACATCTTGGTGCTACATTTGTTTAAGCATCCCCTGGGTGAATGTATTTCTCTCTATTATGTGCTGATACATGTTGTCTACATTATCATTAGGATAAGTACCCAAAGTAATTACCATTATTCTTTGGTCAACTCTATGTTTAAAGTCAATAGTTTAATCATCTGTTTGAAGAATAAATTTGAATCCTCTAATTAGTTAACTTATTTGGTGACTATTTTTGAAATTTATTCTCTAGAAAATAACTTTGATGGTTTCTCTCACAATATTAGTATTTCAAGTTTAAGATACAAATAAGCAATACTACACAAGGTACATATTTTACATGACAAAAGGTACAACATCATACACGACAATACCTTATGTAAGTACAAGGACAAGAAATGACACGATGTAATTGTAAAAATATTACAACAACTTCTTTTAAAAAAACAAACCTAGTAATGGTCAACTAAAGAGAAGCTATATAAAGACTCGACTTTTCTCTATTTTATTCACCATAATAAACAACATTGAAGAACAATTTAAATTAACATTTGAGAAGATAAAGAGGTCCACTTGGGATAAATTCTTTGTGTTTAAAAAATCTAAGATATAAGTTAGTTGCACTAGAAAATATCTTTGTGATATTGTAATTATTCTATGATAGAACTTGAGACGATTAGAAAGAGTTGATTCATAGTCTGTTACAATGGTTTGATGCTTCCAATGAGGTGGATAAGGGGTTGGCTTGCAAGGTTAGCACTCCAACGCTCAAGTGAGTAAGAGAGTGAAAAGTGGAGTTTGAATGTAAAATGATTTCAATACTGTTGCAGCCCAAATTTTGACCCCTTAGATCCTCATTATCATTTTAGGAGCATACTCATAAATTATCTAACCCTAACCTAGTGCAAGTTTGTCTTTGTCAAGTTACAGATGAATCAGGGTTTTGTACAGTCAAATCGAAGCTTCAGGGTTTGTGATCAGTCAATGTTAGGGGTTGATTCAATCATGAAACAAGATCAAGGATGTTATGTGAGATCAAATGAGAGTCCAATTTGAGGTTATTACACCAGAATCAAGAACAGTGCATTTCAGGGTGCCCGATTAGGGTTTTTGACCGGTAAAAGTCAATTATAGTTTAACTTTGGTGTTGGAAGCTATTTTAATGGTGGGATCATGGTCCATGAAGTTCATATAGCTTAATAAAGTTCATTCAAGAAGTGTCAAAGTCTCAGGAGGTCCAGAGTGTCAACAGGCGACTCGGTAGTCACCGATCGATCGTACGGTTGACCGAAACGTCAACTCTTCAAATTTAAGGAATTGGACTTCAAAGTGTGAATCAAAAATGTTCCTTATGTCATTTTGCACTTGCCTATCAATTTTCATGACCATTGGATTAAGGATGAAGGAGTAATCGAAAAATCGGGAAATTAGGGTTTTGAAAGGGGCTAAGCCATAACTCCTTAACCACACATCCAATTGAGTTGGTTCAAAGCTCATTGGAAAGCTCTTGACAAATCCTACAAAAGTCCCTAAGTGGTACATGATCAGAAAATTCATAAATTTGGAGTTATGACCAAATTCATTTTGAGAAGGGAAAAAGACTTAGAGAAATTTCACTTTCAAGCTCATTTTTAAGCAACTTTGAGAGATTTTTTGGCCAATTTCCTTTGAGAATTTGAAACTCATGAAAACATTAATGTTTTAGAGCTACTTCAGGGCTTTCTAAAAAGTACTAGCACATCTCAAAAGGATTTGTGAGCTGAAAGTTATGGGTGTGACAAGTTGGTGGTTTCATACTTGAAGTCCCACATTGACAAGTTTCAAAAATCCATTATTTCACCAATCTGACCAATATCAGCTTTTGAATCATGTTTGATCAGATATGTAGAGAGTTTGTAGCATGGAAGTACAAAGGAAATGCAGAAGGTGTGGAATTAGCCAAGCTTGCAAGTGGCTTTACAACTTCAACTTTAAGTGAAAATGGCAAGCATGAGGTGTAAAGGCAAATCTGAACCAGCCATCAACCTATGCTTTCTAGCCTGAATTTATCCCTTTCAAACTCATCATTTTGCTTGACTATTGAGCTTACCTATCTGCCAAGAAAACCCCTTATGGAGGTTTGATCCAAAAAGCAAACCTTTCCTTCCTATGAACGAAATCTCCAAATCTGCCCCCTCCATTCATTTGCCTATAAATAGAGGCACTCCCCACCTCATACCACATACAAGAATCACTCTAAGAAACTAGAGAAAGATCAAGACTTCTCTCTTGTACACTTTGCTTCAAAATCACAAAATCACATTTTCACCAAAACACTTCAAAATCTGCCTTGCTACAAATGCTGCCAAAATCATTTCTCCATACTCAAACTCCCCAACAATCATCCACACAATATCTAAATATGATATAGAAGGTTCCCAAGACCTTAGACTACTCAAAAACCTCACCATTCAAAAAGTCAACTTCCATACCAAGTTACTTTGACCAAAAGCCACAAAATCTGCCAAAACTTGTTCTAGGCATTGGCTTAGTGTTCTAATCACTCTAACACCTCACAAATATAATTTCTCAACTGTCCAAAGCATTGAGGACCATTGGTGGAGTTTATTTCTCCAGCTGTCTTGAAATTTGCATTCTTGCTTCAAGAAGAAGAAATCTCCAAGGCTAGGTGCATTTGAAGTTTTCTCTGGGTTTCTTATTGATCTAACCTGCTCAACACAGTCTACTAGAGGTATGTAGACACTTCATTCTTGCTTTACACCATAATTTCATGTTTTGGCATTTTGAGCATGTTATGTATTGAAAATATGTCATGTGTATGTATTGTGTCAAATTCTGTCATGACAAAGATGTATCTGTTTTTTTGAGTTGGATCACCTCTAAAATCATGATTATGGTAAGTGTGTATGTTTGGTTGGAGCTGTTTGCATCTGGTTTGTCTTTTCATTCACAAAATGCCATATTTTGCACATTGTTGCCATAGCCATACCAGTTTGGATTTCAGGCCAGAAAATGCTTATGTTTGAGTTCAAAAACATTTATTTGTGTATTTGTGACATGTATGAGTGGTTTACACAATCTGTTCTCACCTGTTTTTAACATCTCACCCCAAAATGCATTTTTCAAACCATGTTGCCATGAAATATGCCAAAACTTGTTCTGCTCACAATATGACAGTTTCTTAAGCATGAGCATCTTTATTTCCATGTATATGACTTGTGTGTATGATCTATGTGGCATGTATGTGCAGAGAACCAAATTGAGCATCTTTCATGCATCATACTTATGCCAAATTTGCAACTTGAGTACCATTTTTTACAACAGTGTGTTTTTAACCTGAATTTGTGTTTGAATCTACTCATGAGCATTCATATCATGTGTGTATGTAACTGGTATAGTGTAAAACTAGATGGAACAAAACTGCACCTCATCATGCATCATGTTTATAACAATTTGCAACTCAAGTGCCATGTTTCATGATAGTTCCTTGTTGGCTTCAAATTGTGTTTGTAATCATTCAATACCATGTATGTGTGGTGTGTATATGATTGGTTTAATCTGAACATGCCTGGAATTGGAACCTCACACCTTCATGCACTTCACACATACCAACTTGCACATTGAACACTACATTTCACAACAGTCAGTGCAGAGCCCTATCTTGTGTTCAAACTCATCCATTAACTTGCATTCAATGTGTGTATGTGTTTATTTTGATCAATATGTGCACAGAAACTAAACTGCCATAAAACATGTGTTTCATTCATG